CTGAATTGCACAAAACGCATGATCGCACCGGCTAGTCTGGTGCGCGTTGCCATTTATTGCTCACTGTAACAGTGCTACAGTGCTGCGCAGCAAAAACGGATACAAATCCGGGGCACGTGACTCAACTACAGTAGAAGCGTACTCAAAAAAAAAAGCCTGGGCGATGAGGAGGGCTACTGGCAGTCTATTCTTTGAGGATTGTTTAGAAGCAGCCTGGAACGAGCTCTGGCTCCCTGACATATGCCAGTACCAGTAACCGTCAGAAGGAACAAAGAAATCGTACAGGGTTCAACTCTCTTGTTCACGGAGTCGAACTCCTGGCCTTAGCGTGAAGCTACGCTATGCATACCAGAACTCGAATGAGAAGCGCTCTCCGAATTATTTTCACAGGAGCCAATTTTGAAAAGCTGTGTGATACGGAATTTAGCTGCGATGAATTTTAGTTGCTGCCCATCTACATGAAGGAGGTACTGCATTTGTCGGATGTACGAAGTACACTGTATTCGGCGCTGCCACTACTCGCTCTATGGATCAGCAAAAATCTGTCATCGTCGCTGTCGTCCTTCCTGAGCACCTGCAAAAGCGGGCACTGCTTACTTCGCCAAACTACACTAGTGAAATTGTTCAACGGAGTTGCCTCGACAGGCTTGGCGCTCGGCCTCATCACAGTACCGCTCCTGCGACGTAGCATCCCCGCTGTTGCTGCTGTATGTGCCGCAAATGCTTTCGCTGGTAAACCATTTTATTATTTGAAGGTGCTTGTGCCAGAGTAGCTGAAATCGCTTGAATCGATTGCGTAGAGCGTCAACTTACTAAGGTGCAACCTCACTTTGGGTGCAGTTATTCCGTGTTTCTTTTTTCCAGGTTACTGTTTCCGTCATGTTTCTCTCTCTACCTAGCACGCGCACATTAACGAGATCGATCCGAGAGGAGCTTCACATTCCTTGTTTGCGTGATAATGTAAAGCGCACACTGAGTTTTAGGAATCAAGCAGTGTGTTCATTCAGGAAGTTTTATTTTCCTTAGGGAACGCTACGACATTTTGCACCCATGAACTATTGAAAAAAGGCTTTCGTCTTATGTAAGCCATACGGTAATGAAAACGGTGCCAAAATAACGGTCCTGATTTTTCGTGAACTCATCCCTCGTCATCTTCAAGTTTTCCCAACTGAGGGGACTTGGTGCATTGTTTTCACAACCCACAATTCCCTGCACTATGATGGTAGCCACTAAAGCGTTGCTTTAACTTGCCTAGTGCGCCCACTGCACCTGCATTTTGAGTTCGTTGCTCCCTCATTATGTGTTTTTTGCAGCTATGCAAAAACGCATATTGTCGAGGGTTTTTCTGTGTGTTTATGTGGGTGTTCAATGTGTGGCCTCTATGGATTTTTCATATTAAAACTTACAAAAGCTAGAAGGCTGAAACTTTGGCAACTTTATTTATATCTTTGTGTAGGTGCAAAGGGAAAATTTTTTGGCGGGAAAGTGATTTCGGGAACCAGGCAGTTTAGGAGACCGAAACTTTGCGAAGATGTTTCTTGTCCATGTTTCGTCCAAAGAATCCAAATTCAGTCTTCACGCAACCCAGGGTCCCATGTATGTACACGTCAAAATTTAAATTGGCACCAAGCTAACTCGAGAATTAGACCGCTCACTAATGATGCTCGTGAAAGTAAGATAAGCTTTCAATTCACTCTGCATCTCAAGTACTGGACGTGAAATTTATTGTAATTCCTCAACCGAGGCAGCTAGAGCTCTCAATCCTTTTAGCTGCAATCATCTTCCGGAAAAAGCAGCGCCGTCAGCTACAAAAACCTGGACGGAGGGAGCGGGGAAGGGGACTGAATAAAAAAACGCATATTTGCACCAGTACTCGGTATACCACTATGTTATTTTACTGCGGCTGATTTAATTTCTCCGACTATTCATTTGTTAACAAAAAATCGGATACGAAGTTTTTCTCGCAAAAGCATTAAAAACTAGCACTACCGCTTCACTTTCTCCGGTATGTTTAGCTTACATAGTAAACATATCTCCCTTAAGTAACTTTCACGGTTTACGTCAGGACGATAAGATGAAGCATTCGTTTCGCTTTGGTTCCCTCTCTGTTTTTTCTGACCTTATCAAAGCCTCTTCGCTGACGTTGATAAGTCTAATACTGTGTATGATGCGGTTTACCAACGTACTATCCAAACTAAAAAGAAACATGCAGCTTCAGTCAGCCTTAGAAAATTTCGCAAGCACACGGCGCATATCTCTTGTAGGTGTTACAACTGAAGTTATAGACCCCCACAAAGACATCTTGTAGCTGGCGCTTGGAGACCGTAGTGGCACTGGATTTATGTATCTTTTTCAAATTGCAGTGCCGTAAAAGGAGATTCTTCTACTGCTCATTAATTCAGGTTTCAGGCTTACAATGATGGGTGGGTTTGAAAGCCTTCCAAAATGCAGCAATCAGTTTTTGATTGCGTTCCCTGTCTGCAGCACAGTGGCGCGCAACCTTTTTTATGCGTTTTTGCTGTGCAGCGCTATAGCAGCACAGCAAAAACCAGCAAAAACTCACATTGCCGAGAGGTTGTCTGTGTGTATGTTGGGAAGCGAGTGCATTTTGCCACCCACCTTCATCTCAGCAACCAGGAAAGCTGGGAGGCTGAAACTTTGAA